TGATGCTGCTTAGCCTGCTGTGTTCATCCAGCTCTGCACCTTGTTGTCACAACTCTAATAGCAACCATTTTACACTTCTTAAGTTGCTAAGTAGCTGTTTGAAGGCTAACTATTGGATAGTAATCCAGCTTTTACGTTACGGTTGCATTACAGTATTTATGCCTGAAAGCAACTTAAAATTTAAAGTTGCATCCTGAGGAAAATTGCTTTGCAAAAAGTTACATTTATACATTACCAAGAATATATGGTATACTCTAAAGGTGCATTCTAGCATCTATGCATAAATCTATTGGTAATGTGAATTGTGACTTTATATAATTTTATTATAATTTAATAATATGATTATTGATAAGATATATTCCTTTGAAGCCAGGTTTTATATTTTAAATGATAACTTATTGCCATTTTGTTTTGGTAAGAAGAATATTTAAATATCAGTAATGTCAATAACTTGCACCAAAATTTATAACTGTTGAGAATTCATTTTAAGAATTAGCACAAGGGAGGTCGTCTATGAAGCTTTTGATCCAATGGACCATTCTTCCACAGAAGTCAGTTGTATCCTGATCTTAGCTGAGAATTTTGCTTTCAGTTCAAAATTCACCTATTCAGAAATATTTTTTAAGAAAGGCTTTTAATCCCTGGGCCTCATTTAAAGGTTAACTCCCTCCTCATTCCAGATGGCGTATCTTGGCAAAGTCACACAAGTACAGATTACCTTCCCATGAAGTTAGGTCCATGAGATTGGCTGCCAAACTGTGGATTGAAGTAGAATCACGTAGAAAAGTTCTTCCTGGTCGATCACATTCATGCGACCTCAACCATGAGACACACACCACGCAGGCAGCTATCTTAGAGATACTTCATTAAAACCACCATTCTGATCAGATTTCTTTATTATGAACACCAAACATTGCATCAGAAGCGAAGCTGAAATTGAGTACTGAAGAGGTGTAAACAAACACAGATGACAAGATTGTTCAGAGTTGTGAACACATCTGAAATAAATTTTTAAAAAGAACCAGAAAATAGGTCACAGCTGAAACATTTAAGCAGAAGGAGAAAGGCTGCCGCTTCACCCCTCCGAATTCCAGTTGAAATGAAAGATGATATGAATCAAAACTGGCAGTTTTTGCATGCACGGTGGCAAAGTTATGAAATAACAACAGATCTGTTTAACAGGCTAAAGTAACTTTTACACATTGCTACTTTCTTATCACTGTTGGGAAGATACTGTTCCAAAGTGTATCCCTCCTCAACCTCTCACAAGAGCAGAAAAAAAACAGATTGGAAGTCTTGAAGATACACTTAGAATCCCATTTGACTATAATTTATAAATGATACATGTTCAACATTAAGCCCCAAGTTTAAAAGAGAAAGCTTATTAATATGTGATCCCATTAACACAGCTCCAGTGAATTCATACAAATGAAAGGCAATCGAATTAAAGATAGGATTGTATTAGGCATAAGAGATCCTGCAGTGAGTGCACGTCTACTGAGAGTGGGGAAATTCTTTTTCAAGAAAACAATTGGCATGTGCAGAAGTACTGAGGTTATAAATGAGCAGCTAAAGCATATTCATGGTAGAACAAATTAGCCTTTGCATTATGCTGATAGATACTCCAGGCCCAAATGGCAGAATAATCATGGACAAAGGATAGGATGAAAATACAATGGGGGACATAATGCAAAGGAGAAAAGGGCATGTCCAGGATGGGAAAGGCAGTGCTCTCACTGGAAGAAGCTGAATCATTTTGCACACAAGTGCACATTTACAAGGCCAACAAGGATATACAGATGGCCAAGGGAGGAAAAATAATGGAAAATTCTGACAAATCTAAACCACCTCACCAATCTACAGTTGGTTCAGTCTGGTTGATAAGGTGATACATGGTTTGTGACTTGTAATGACGACTGCAGAAGAAGGACATCCGGTCAACAAAAATTGACTGATAGACACCAATGTGTTTGCAGACTTGTGCAAATTGGCTCAACATGATGATCCAAAAATGAAGCCCTCAAAAATAATGTTGAGGCTATATGATGGCACCATACTCAAGCTAAGAAGACAGATTACTCTGTGAGCCCAATGCAGTAACATAAACAAATGTTTGGCATTGTAGATCATAGACAGCAATCAAAGGCCATTCATCTCAACCAAAATAAATCTAAAGTTTGGACTGGTAACCCCCAATGTGGTAAAATAGATTTGCAAAATATCACACTACATTGAACTATTGTGTACATCAATGGGTTTTCAGACTTAGAATGTCTTCCGGGGGCTTACCATCACAAAGTAGACAAGCGTGTGAGACAATTCAGCATCCGTGAGTCAAGTTTCAGTATGAGGAAAGTTCCAGCAATCCTCAAGGCCAGCCTGAAAGACAAGATAAAAGAGCTGGTAAAGAAGGAAGTGATCAAGAAAGTAATCATTCCTACAGAATGGATCAGCTGCATGGGAGCCACAAAACAACATTGAGACCTGAGAGTATGCATCAACTCAGATGGTCTAAGTAAAGCCCTGAAGAGATCTCACTGCCATAAGGTGAACAAACCTACAGTGCTCAATTCCCCTTACATACTGATCCAGTGTTCCACTGGGACCAAATCCTGGAACTGTTTGCAGTCTCAGCCATGCCCATGACCTAATTCTGATGCAGATTAGCCAGCATCACCAGAGGCTGGGGTTTTCTCCCACTGACTTACAGAAGTCCCATTCTCCACCAATTTAGTTCAGCCCTGTAGTGCATTATGTCTGAGGGAGAGGCAGCTCTGGGCCTGCCAGGTAGCCACTTTCCTTTTAGGGAGTGGGAAGGGTTCAAACTATCTGCATCCCCATAAAATGTTACCCCAAGTCTATCTTGAAATTCATAACCATCTTTCATTTCTAATTCACACCAGCTGTTTGACAATACTATTTTAGTTCATAATCAGCCTTTGATCTAATTAAGTAACAAAATATGGTTTGATGACTTATTCTAAAGGAGTCAAGACTCAAAGCATTGGCACATTCTGCTACCATTTTCTTTTAGTTTGTTTTGTTCCTGTTTATTCTCATCTATTTTGCTGTTACATTTATCGGTCTGAACAAAATATACCATGGGATCTCAAATTTTGAACTAAATAATAGGTTAGGATGTGTCTGAAGAGCAATGAATATATTTCAAAAGCTATTGTATATCTTATATCTCGGATCAATACTGAGATGGTTTTGCGTGTGTAACAGGTTTTATTTAAATTGCTTGAAAATGTCTATTCCATGCGTCAGCTCTGGCTTCCAGCTCTTTTTACAGCTTGCTTATATTAACCTGAGCCCACAGCCAGGCTGAACAAATCAAGCCCAATGAGCATTAATTGCAAACAATCTCATGCCATCAAACTCAACAATTGAACACTCCAAAAACAAAAGCAAAATACAGTAGATGCTGCAGTAAGAAAATGAATAAGATATGCTTTTATCAATTTACTACGTTGTGTTTGCTGCTCATGGTGTGGCCTCCTCCATGTAGGGGAGACCAAATGGAGACTGGGTGAATGCTTTTCAAAACACTTCTGTTCAGTCTGCAAGCATGGTTCTGTGATTCCCGTTGCTTGTCATTTTAATTCTCAAATTTGCTCCCACTTTGGCATTCCTATCCTGCTGTAGCATTCCAATGAAATACAATGCATTATAAGGAGCTGCACCTCACCTTTAACATATTAATGCTAAAGCTTTCTGGGCTCAACTATAAGTTTCCCTCCATTTTTTTCTGTATTTAATTTTCTTACTGGCTTGTTTTTTTCTTGTTTCTTTCTTTATCCCTTTATTTTGACTGGATAGCAGATCTGCAAAAGCATTTATACCTCACCAAGGCGCTTCTTTGGGCCTGAGTTTTAGTGAGGGAAGGAAGAGGTACGGGGTATCCACATCCTGAAGTAGAGAAGCATAAGCTCAACAGGGTCCGGAGGAGACTTACCAGGATGTTAATGGGTGTGGAAGGTTTGAGTTCTAAAAAAAGACTGGATAGGCTGAGACTTATTTCACTGGAGCATAGGAGGTTGAGTAGTGACCTTATAGAAGTTTATAAAATAATGAGGGGTATAGATAGACTTAATGGTAGTTGCCTTTTCCTTAAGATGGGTGATTTCAAAACTAGCTGGCACATTTTTAAGGTTAGAGGAGAGAGGTTTAAAAGAGACATGAGGGGCAAATTTTTCTATGGACTTCCTGAGTAAATGGTGAATCTGGGTACAATTACAACATTAAAAGACATTTGGATAAGTACATGAATAGGAAAGGTTTGGAGAGGTATGGGCCAGGAGCAGGCAGATGGGGCTGGTTTAGTTTGGGATTACATTCGGCACGGACTGGTTGGACCGAAAGGTCTGTTTCCACATTGAATGACTGTATTTAATGGTTGCTGGGCAGTTAATTGGCTTGAATCCCATCTCCGAGAGCTCTGATCGTCAGCATTTCTCTAGCCCCAGTAGCACCACCTGGAGCAGTGGTCACAGCTGAGACTGCAGTCCATCTCATTTAGAGTGTTCTCCGATGGAACCCAGAGTTTAAGGGAAAAATGGGGCCGAGGTGGGCAAGACCTTCAAAGAGAGGCGAGAGGCTGGACAGGAGGTGAGGCCACAGGCGATAAAGGAGGCTCACCTTCTCATTGGCCATTAACTGTGAATAAATCCCAATGGTACTGGGAGAAATCCTTAACTGACTACTAATTAGCTGCATGAGGCCATCCATTAATTCTCAGGGGTACTGGGCTGCCTCCATTGTTGCAATGTGGCAAGGAAAGAGATGGGAGGCTAGACATTGGGAAGTGAATATCAAGTATGGTAACAATTTTAAGCCACCTCCACACCTCTCCCACAAATATCAGCCAACTCAGTTCCAGGAGGATCATAAAATCAAGCCCTGTATTTCTTTACCAGTTACCATTCACTTTGGCTTTTGTACTATGAAGCCTTTTGGTGTTGAATTTCTACAAATTTACAGCCTAGAACAAACATTCCCTTTTACTTAACCCTTTCCTTTGAACCACCCACCTCTCCTAACTTCCCAATGTTTTCCCTGCTCAAAACGTATTACATTTCTACTTTTCATCCTTTCTGATGCAAGGTCGCAGACCCGAAGCATTAACTATGTTTTTCTCTCCACAGATGCTGCCTGACTTGAGTATTTACAGCATTTTCTATTTTTATTTAATTACTGTACTTCCCTGGATCTTACTGACACAATTTTGTGTTGATGCAAAAAGGATGAAAATAAGTGATTCAAACCATGAGGAGAAAATAGAGATGTCATCAAAACAACACTCAAAAAATGAGCAAATGCAGCCAGAAAACCAAAATGAGAACAAAATCTGGAACTTCCTTGCTTTGTGCACGTGCAATCATACACATAACTATAAGTGCATTAATACGTATGTGCACGCACACACACTCACATGAATCGGATTGAGTTAATAATCTGAAGTTTCCAGGCAGAATGTTTTAAGTAATCACAATTATGCAGCTTATTAATAAAATGAATAGATGGAGTACCAGCAATTTACTTCAATTAATTCACGGTGATTGCTCCTGACAACTAGGGGCATTAGGTCAACCACCAATGATTGAGCCCGTTATGTAAGGCAAATTTGGCATTAGACAACTGTTGCTTTCTATATCATAACTCTATTCCAATGTGAATCCTTTTTATTTTATTTTCCTATATTCAACATAACCTCAAAAAAGTGTAATATTATATGTCTGAATGTAAGCTTGTTCCTGCATTATTGGACAGATTACAACATGCAAACATCAATGTACGCCTACTGTATATTGTGCCAAGCAATTAATAACCTAAGGGTGCAACTATCCTTCAATAACATTGCCCTTCCTTTTGGAAGGAGATGATATAAATCATAAAAGTACATATTGATTAATATTTTTTGCAAATGATGAAATGACATTCCTGAGGCAGTTTCTGTAAAGAGTAACGCTGCCATAGAAACGATATCATTACATTGCATTGGTGTAAAGTTATTACAGTGATTTTGCTGCAATGGAGTTAATCATTGAAGTCTTATGATAAGTATCCATTATGTATAGTAGATCTTCTCCATATGTCTCCTTTTTTGGGAACATTCAAAAAGCTTTTTGTGAGCAGATTGTTTGCATTTGGAATTGCATATACATTTCCAATGTTTACAAAGAAACTTTCAGATTTTGACTAACTGAAACCAAAAGTTAGCTTTCTAATATAAAGGCTTTTCTAAACTGTGTGTGTGTTAGGTCAGGATTCTTGTTAGACTGTCTGTGCTATAGATTGTATGTAAGACATGACTATATCTTTTAAAAAAAACATGTTCAGCAATGGCTAGTACAATGAATGTTTGAGAGTACAGATGTTGTTCAGTATATCAGTATTTTCAGATTGATATTTATCTGATAAATCTAAGTTTGGTCGAACGTATAGTGGTAAACATTGTTCAACTTACAATGTTATGCTCTCTTAATGTTTTTTACGGCTATCAATGTGTGAGTTTCTGCTGTCTGTCTTTACTGATTCATTTGACCCTTTAAATTCACAAGATATTCAAATCAGTTCCCACGAAATAACTACACAAAATTCTGGCTTACACATTGCTTTACTTGTAACATTGGTTACCAATGATATGAGTTTTAAGTTTGCAGTAGGTATTGAAGAGAGCTGTAAAGTTGCAGATTTGGAAATTCATTTGGTTCAATTGAGAAGCCAGAGATCCCTGGGAGTTTCTTGTCTGTCAATTGCTGTGAAACTTGGGGATTAAAGGGTTCAAATTGTGCACAGCCAATGTAATTGCTGCTTATAGGTCCATATAACTTCTCAAGAAACTTTGTTTGTCTGGATATTTCTATTATTCCTCTGGGGACCGAAATACAACTATGGTTTTCAAAACAGCCACTCCTCTTCTACTTCTGAGAAGTGAAGCTTTTATTGCTGAAGAGGAGTTGATGAGAATAATTAGAGAATGCACCGATTTAAAGAATATTGTTGAATGCACATTTCTTATGAAATAAATGGATTAATTTGATCATTACTTTGCTGTCTCAATTCACTTTGATGCTGGAGTGAGACTCAAACAGTTGATTAAGAGGCAACCTAGAATATAAACTGTTTTCTGTTATGACCAATTCCGTAGAATCCCTACAGTATGGAAACAGGCCATTCACCCCAACAAGTCCACACCATCTCTCCAAAGAACATCCCACCCAGATCCACCCCCTACCCTTTCGCTGCAGCCCTGCATTTCCCATGGCTAATCCGTCTAACCTACACATCCCTGGACACTATGAGAAATTTAGCATAGCCAGTCCACCTAACCTGCATGTCTCAGGACTGTGGGAAGAAACTGGAGCACCAGCAGAAACCCACGCAGACATGGAGAGAATGCGAAAACACCACACAGACAGTCGCCTGAGGCAATTATTTTACAAGGCATTTTGATGAGATCGGAGCCTTAGATTTTA